GCCATAGAGTATGAGAAGATGTGTATGCACCAAACATCTCATACAGGAGTTAATATCAGTAATAGAGTTCTTCATATATCCCTACAAGACGGCACCACAAAACAACAACAGTCCTATTCCAACGTGAACAAAGGATTCTAACAAGCCTTCCCCCAAAATTCCTCCAAAAACAGAGGGACAGGGACAGCCAAGGATACATGAAAAGTTGTTCAACATTGCCAGTCATTAGGGAAATGTAATTTAGAACCACAACCAAATACTGCTTCATACTGGAAAGGATGGCTGTTACACATAATAATTCATTTTCACACATAAGTAAGTACAATGCGATGTGGGGAGCTAGAAGCTGTGGGCAGATACGGTGATAAAAAACGATAAAGCTGCCTTGAAAAATAGTGTCCAGGTAGGGGGTTTCCATCGCTGTGGCAAAATACCATGGCCAAGAGCAACTTGAGGGAAGCATTTACTTCATCGTGAAACCCTCAGGTCACAGCCCATCACTGAGGGAGGTCAGAGCAGGAACCCGGGAGCAAGAAGTCAGAGAGTCAGAGAGAGGCCATGGAGGAGCGCGGCTTACCGCCTGTTCCCCATGGCTTGCTCAGCCTGCTTCTGTGTATAATTCAAGACCGCCTGCACAGGGATGGCACCACCCATCATGGGCGGGGCCCTTCCACATCAATCCTAAAACAAGACAATGGCCTTAGACTTGCCTACAAGCCCATCCTATGGAGGCATTTTCTCAACGGACAGTCCCTCTTCCCAAATGACTCTAGCTCGGGTCAAGTTGATGCAAAACTAACCAACACGAACATCTGGTGGACTGTTAAAAGCTGAACATAAGAACAGTAATCATGATCGGCGGTTCCACTTCTGAGGGCATGTCCAAGAGAGCTGAAAGCAGCGTCAGCAATCTGTGCACACATGCTCACTGCAGCATTACTCACAGAGGCCAAGAGAGCAGCAGAGAAAAACCAAGTGTCCATGGAAAGATCAACAGAGAACAGAGAAAAACCAACTGTCCATCGACAGATCAACAGAGAACAGAGAAAAACCAACTGTCCATCGAGAGATCAACAGAGAACAGAGAAAAACCAACTGTCCATCGACAGATCAACAGAGAACGACCAAGAAAAACCAACTGTCCATCGAGAGATCAACAGAGAACAGAGAAAAACCAAGTGTCCATCGACAGATCAACAGAGAAGGGCAGTATGGTCGGTTCACGTATAGGAGAAAATACCACTCAATATTCAAAAGGAAGGAAAATCAGATACGCATTCCTCCATGGATGAGCCTTGAAGACACTTTGCTGAGGGAAATCATCTAGTCACAAAGAGGCAAATACTGTTGATTCACGCAGATTAAATAAAAGAAGAAGAACCTAGAGTCACATTCACAGTGTCGTGCTTTCTGGGGGCTGGGCAGGAAAACATGGGGCTACTGCTTAATGGGACAGAGTTCTGGAAAGAGAAAAGGACTTGGAGAGGGTGGCGGTAGTGGTTATGCGATGCTACAAATGCCTTAAGGCCATAGAACTGAATGGCTAGAAATGGGTAAAACGGTAAAATGTATATTGTGCGTGCAAACTACCTAGACCACGATCTTGACCTCATGGAACTCTCTCCAGAACAAACCCACCTACTCTCCTGAACCACTCATGAGACACAAATGAAAGCCACTGCCTCTCATTCTAGCCACTCTCAACATCCCCAGCCTCCTCCAGTCACATTTAACCCACAGGCTAGAGATCTCAGTAGACACTGATCCGTGAAGGATGGGAGGGCCCTGTCACCTCCTCCGTATGACTACAGTCAGTTTCTGCTAGTGCGTTGAACATCAGTTCCTGTGGGCTAACATCCGTCTGACACCTTGTGCCCTTTGCTAACGTACCTCTGCCCTCACTGTCCTTGCTCAGAGCTCCCCCACAGACTGAAAAGAAAACCGAAGCTCACCCACAGATGGTACAAAACGGCAAGCCAGGAGAACAAACTAATAAAGGAACATATCGGCATATGCAAATGTTCCAGAGACACTGTTGACCTAAGTAAGGGGTGCTGTTCAGGTGTTAAGCCCTCTGCTTCATCTATATTCTTCTTAGACAGCTTTCCATGTAGAAGCTGCCTGCAGGCTTCTGAGAGAGAGAGAGACAGAGAGACAGAGAGAAAGCGCGCACAGCGCCCTCAACCACCCCAGTTAGATATGCTTGCTTTTTACAAACTCTAATCGGGTCACAGCCCTGAATACGTCACCTTGGCCACGATGATGCAAAATCTTAATAGCTTCGTTCCAGGTCACATGCCCCACCTCTAGAGCAGGACAAACTAATCCACTGAAGCAGCTGTTTGTCTGAAAGAGAGTGCTCAGAGTAAAGCCAGCATCGGTGGTGTGAGGGGAGGTTGAGTGACAGAGAGGACAGCGTCAGCCACCTGCCCGTGAGTCCCAGTAGGTAGTTCACAGATTCAGACATGCTGCACATTAAAGGCGACATTCCAACCCTCCTGACTAAATATTTAGGGTCCCAATCTAGGAGGCTGTGCAGTTCACACTGTGATGAAGGTGCTGTCGCTACCTTATCACACTCAGTCATGAACCGAACAGGAACACGCTATTACATAGCACATAGTCTACAAAAGCCCACAGTTGAATCTGGCTTGATGGTATTCACCTGTAATCTCAGCACAGGGGAGACAGAGGCAGGAGGATCGTCTTAAATTTGAGACCAGTCTGGTCTACAGAGTGAGTTCCCGGCCAGCAAGAGCTACATAGTGATGCCCTGTCTCAAAACAGAAAGAGACAGAAAGCTCCATGGTTCTGTTGTTACCTCTTGCAGCTCCCTGAGCCAATCACAGTCCTCCTGCCAAGGTACCCTCATCAGCATCTTTGAATGTATAGCTGAAAGCAGGTTCATCTCTTAGGCCGGGGCCCTACTTCTTACGCCCAGAGACTGGGAGTCACCATAACAAAATTCCAGACTTATGTGAAGATTTGTCATGAGTTCTAAGTGATATATGGCTTCTTTGATAGCCATAATTGAGAGAACCCCTTTTAAACATATGCCTCAGACATGAAATGCTATCTAAAGAAGCCAAACTTCTAAGTGGAGCAATAGTCATATGATGCTTACTAAATGCCAGGCTGTTCCTGGGCACACAGGACTCATATCAATGCGGTGTCACCCCACACAGATTCCTAGGGGAGGTAGTCACTAGTGTTGCCAAGATCACTTTCATTTTACAGACAATGAAACTGAAAGCCAGGTGAGGGTGACTGACCCACGCTTCCAAGCAGCTGTGCAAGCATAGCTTGTACCGACGGCATCTGGCTCCAAAGTCATCAGACCGAGCACACACGGGTGTTTTCAAGACACACACCCTTCACCCAGCATGCAAATGAGCCTGCTTCAAAATACAAAGCACAAAGCCAAGCGTGGACAAGTTAGAAAGCAGTCACTCACTTTACAGAACAATGTCATCGTAAGGGAGCCATTCTCAGTGACAAGCTTGCCCTGTACCTGGTTTACTGGTTAAAAGTCATTAATGGTTTCTCAGAAATACGGGGACAGAGGAACTAAGCCAAAACTTAGTACTTGTGCCAGCTAAAGTTCAAAGAACCGAAAAGCCTGGTGTCCACACTAGAAGAAGACAACGTTAAGACTGTTGAGATTCCTCCTCTGAACATCAGTTACACTTGGAGAAAACGCCACTGGGGGCAGCTGTAACAGGGGACCTTGGCACAGCCTCCTTCCAGGAGTCCCCACGTGAGAATTGCCTCCTAGCCCTCTGCACACCCCGGGGTCACCTGACGCAGTCTGTTGTCACCCTTGGCAGCAAAATCTGTTGGATCAATCCTTCACAAAGGTGCAGAGGCGAACAGGTGGCTACCTCATTCAAAGAAGTTTATTCAATCTTAGTTCTTCTAGAAATAGCTTCTATGCAAACCCAGGTGGTTGAAAATGAACAGACTTAGCTGGGCAGTGGTGGCGCACGCCTTTAATCCCAGCACTTGGGAGGCAGAGGCAGGCGGATCTCTGAGTTCCAGGCCAGTCTGGTCTACAGAGTGAGTTCCAGGACAGCCAGGGCTACACAATGGGAACTCTGTCTTGAAAATAAAAAATGAGAGAGAGAGAGAGAGAGATCCAAATATAAATCAACAGTTGCACAGCAGTGGAGAGCAAATACTCATCTTACAGATGAAGGACAATGGTGGTGGACAGATTATGAGGGGCTAAGTGAGAGCCAGCTCCTGGTTGAAAGGGGCAGCTACTGCCAGAGGCTGATTGAGGGGCAGCCCATCTTTCCTTTCCCAGCTGCCAGTGCCTCCCTCATGCAGCAAGAGGGTGAGGGCATCTGGAGAAGATACAGTCAGCAAAGAAGAGGACCGGAAAAGAGGAGAGAATCTCCAGAAGAGAAAGGAGGGGAAGCATAATGCTTCTCCCAGTGGATGTTCTAGGAAGACAGGCCATGCGCCCACGGATGTAGCGCAGTTCATAGAGGCACACGCTTTCAGTCACCAACATCTGCATGAAACCAGTCAGGGTAGCCCACATCTGTAGCACCAACACTCAAGAGGAACAGAAATCCAAGGCCAACCTCAGCTATTCAGAACGTTCGAGGCCAACCTGGGGGACACGAAGCCCTGCCTCTAAAACAAGGAGCAAAAGCGAAGAACATTAATTAGGATGTTTCAGGTCTGGCAGAGTAGACGGGCCCCAAGGGCAGGGCCTTCTTCCTCACTGCTCGCTCTAATTTTGGGAAACCCAAATGCCTAAAGAGTCATAACAGGTCAAAGGGTGCCTAATTAAGGCTCCTTACCAACACGTGGTGTTGCCAATGCCCCCAGTCGCCCACTCTTCCTCAGAAGTGTCCAGGGAGCGTTTGGCCAGGCTGACTCAGCCTCTGCCGGATTCGCTGGGGTGGGAGGGTTAGTGAATCGCCTGTGTGGGTGAGAGTTTGGACTGAATTCACTTCCACCCGCTAACAGAATCTGTTTGATTCATGGAGGTGACTCATCTGAGGAGGTTGACCTGACCATGGTGTATCAGGCGGCATCTAACGGAGATGTCAATGCTCTGACTGCCGTGATTCGAGAGGACCCGTCCATCCTGGAATGCTACGACAGCGAAGGTGAGATGTCTGTGCATTGCTTTTTAAAACCAGGCTGCAATGCTTTACTTCTCAGGGATGGTCTTTGGAGATGAGCCATACAGTTGACATCCTTTTTGACTGGCCAAGTGATAGTAGAGGTACCTGGCCAGTGGTTCCGTGTAGTGCCCCTTGGCATTTCTCTGCATAAAGGTGTTAGACCCAGACCCTCAGCATCTTGCTTCACGTGGAAATTAGATTTTAAAAAAATGGGGTAATAATTAAGACAGAGCTAGCCGATAAGAAACAAGTAACTGGCCAACAGCATTATATCTCGGTGTGTTAATTGGGGCTGGTGCTGCGGTGGGTCCAGGCCAGCAGGGAAAACCTACTCCTTACATTTCTCACTGGAATTTGGAACGTACCAAATAGGCTTACCTCGCTGGCCAGAGAGCCCCAAGTATATGACTGTCCCCATCTTCCCAGGGCCAAGATTACAAGCACAAAACATCGTGCCTGGCTTTCTTAAGTGTGTTCCCACTATCCTACTTAGATCCCTGTGGTTGCACAGCAAGCACTTAAGGTCATGAGCCTTCTTTGACCACCAGTATTTGTAGCAATTGTCTAAAAAGAGATGGTGAATTTAGAAGAAATGGGTGTGGTGCAAGGGTAGGTGTCATTGTCCTTTGGAGAGCAGAGGATTTGGCTCATAGGAAGACAGCATGGTGGTATCTCCCCCTCTATTCTTTCTAAATGCAACTACAAACCCTGATATGAAAAAAAATAACTCTGGAAAACAAAGAGAAAGTGATGCATTGACTAAGTCCTGGGATCTGAGGACTGGCATGGTGGTGATTTCTCTGGATCATCTTTTTGTCTTACACATCCCAGGGTTGGGGATGAAGGAGCTGGTAACACAGAATGCCAACAGATATGAACAATAGAAAAGTTCCTGAAAACTTGCATTATCTAGGCAAAACACCAGGATCAACAATGTGAAAATACTGTTAAAAAGAAACTCTATGTACTAACGCATGGCTTCACAAAGAGAGAATACTTCCATCATTGGTCTTATCAGGAATAAACCAAGGGCATGAAACTACCACAATGGACAGGAATACGCACACTTAGTGAGTGTTAATAAACTATTTTAATGTAAGCTACCATAAATCCCTCTAGTATGAAGTAGACAATTTGAATATTCCTATAACTATTTAAGAAATTAAATTCATAATTTAAAGATTCCTCAAGAGGAGTACATTCAGCCCCAGATGATCTTACAGATTTCTATAATTCGTTTATTTATCTGTTACTTGGATTTATTTTGTGTGTATGAGTGCTTACATGTTTGTGTATCACATGTGCACTGTCCACAGAGGCCTGAAGAGGGCGCCAGACCCTCATAACTGCAGTTTCAGAGGGTTGAGAGCGGCCATGTGGCTGCGGGAGCCAACCCCAGGTCCTCTAAGAGCAACAAGTGTTCTTAATCACTGAGCTGTGAGATGTCTCTCCCGACCCTCGACAGGTGTTTAAGGAATAATCAGCCCTAATTTTTTAAATGATTTCTTTCAAAAAGAGAAAAGCAGAAAATACTTCTTAGCTGTATTTATGAACTAGAATTACACTAACATCAATACCAGATGTTTTAAATCCCTGCATTTAGCAACTGTCCTCATAAATACAGATGAAAAAAAAAGACAACATATGAATTCATGAATATATGAATTATATCATGATCGAGTCTTTGAGAAATATAAGGATATGACAATACTTAACAAACCAACAAAAGTCTCCTGAACTAGCTGGTTAACTAGCAGGATAAAGAAGGAAAATCATGTAATCATATTAATTGGCATGGAAGCATTTGATGAAATTCAATACACATCCTTACTTTTAAAAAGCAGGAAACAGAATGGAGAGGAGCTTTCTCAGTATGACAGAGATCAAGGCCAGGCGAGCTAAAATGCAAGAGTACAAGGCTATGCTGGGTAACTTAGCAAAGCTCCATCTCCGGTTTTCCAGTCTAGATCAGTGGTTCTCACCCTTCCTAATTCTCTGATGCGCTAATACAGTTCCTCGTATTGTGGTGACGCCCACCATAAAATGACTGCTGCTGCCACTTCATGGCGTTCTGAATCATAATGTAAATATCTCTATTTTCTGATGGTCTTAGGCAACTCCAGTGAAAAGGTCCTTTAATCCCCAAAGGGGTCACGACCCACATGCTGAGAACCAGTGGTCTAGAGGAGCAGTATCACTGTTGTTAAAGGATGAATGTTTTGACTCTGAGGTTAGGAACACAAGAGGCATGTCCACTCTTGGCACCCATATTCAATGCAATATAAATTCAAAAGGCCAGGGGCAGACGGCAAGGAGAGGAAATCTCTTACATACGTAAGAGAACAGCAAAAATGTCTGCTTTTTGAACAACTTAATTGTCACCATAGACCACCCTAAGGTGAGAGTTCAGAGGTCACAGGTACAAGATGAGTACATCGACCTGTGTACTAGCAACTAGTATATAGAAAACAAAATTTAAAATACAATACTGTTAAAAGGAATTCATTAATAAACAAGTACATATATATACATACATATACATATATCATATGCAGAACACATAAAATACCAATGAGATAAATATAAGAAAATCTAAATAAATTTCATGGTCATGGAAAACAGTATAATAAACACATAATATTTATATAGGATTAACACAATTTCTAAAAGTAGACAGGTCACAACTCTGTCAAAACCTGACAAGGGGTGTGTGTGTGTGTGTGTGTGTGTTTACACAGGCACACTCACAAGCAAACATGCAGAGGCAAATTTCTTTTCAAACAGAAAAAAAAACCTAGTATTTGTATTTGTAGCAATTTCCTCTCAGCTATTTACATCTTGGAGGGAAGTTCTTAAGGTATAAGATGTCTAAGAGGAGTTGGAATATTCTATCCTGGAGGAACTCTCCTTTAAGTTAGGGGGGAAAAAAACCTCAAAAGCTTTAGGAAGTCCCTGAAACTGACCAGATGCACTAGGCCCCTCCCTCACCAAGCATATATAAGCAACAGGAACTGATGAGGAAAACTCTCAGACTAGCCAAGTCACCTAAAAGAGAAAGGCCAGCTCACTCCAGCTGAGCTGCCTGAAAGAGATGCTCCACATTATTGTTCTCTGAATAAACTTATATAGAAAGTACAATCTCAAAACTGATATAAACTAGTCAGGCAGAACATACACTTTCACAAAAAACAGTTTGCAAAAATCTATTTGCTTTATTTACTGAATATCTCAGATTCACAAATTGCTTCCTTTTCTTATCCATTTGTCCTTCCCCTTCTAATGGTCATAACTCAGAAAGGACGGCTGCTGGGTCACCAGCTGCCTTGTTCAGTGAGAACGGCAGTCCAGACATCCATCCATTCTCAGGGCTCTCCGTGGACCACAGCTGGGTCACCCAGAGAGAACCACAATCTCACCGTGGGTCTCCAGCTCAGTAGAATCCAAGTATGCCATTTCGGCAAGGGGCTGGATCTAAGCTTGGTCTCTTGGACTGAAGGAATGTGACATTCCTTGCTTGTACCAACAGACCCACAAAGTTAAACAAAATGGGTCCATTCATCTCTATTTTTATTCAGAAAGAAAACACACTGGAAAAAAATGCCATTGGCTGTATTGATTCAGAAAGAGAAGGATTCAGTGAGGTGAATCCTACTGAGAATCTGTGGAGCCCAAGGCTACCATCAGCTTTACCACCCACATGTGCTGAACTTGTCTGCCTGGGTGGACCAGAAGCTATTCCGGATTCTTCTGTACTTCCGCTTAGTCAAGATAAACTTACCTTAGTCAAGATAAACTCACATCCCTGAGGCAACAACAGCCAGTTTTGGCCATCTGCCCAAAGTGTTTTAGCTCACCAGCAATCGCAGACAATTGAGCAGGAGGAGAGGGGAGACTTACAGACGGTTGCAGGAAGGGAGGTTAGAAAGAAACCAATACTTATGCAACCAGAAGCCATCATCTTCCTCTCCCTTCAGCCCCACAGAATCCAGCAGCTGGATCTCTGTTACAGAAAAGCAAAATAAATGAATGAACAGACAAGTGGGCTGCTCAGAAATCTCGAAGGTTAAACGCTGGTAAAGGCTGCTGAAATGTCTTATTCCAGGGTGCACACCCTTGATGCACGCCGTCTCTGGGCGTCAAGTGGACACGGTGAAACTGCTGTTGAAGATGGGCGCCAACATTAATACCCAGGATGCTTATGGCCGCACCAGCTTATGCCTGGCAACCTATCTGGTATGAATTTATGTTTGTTAATGGGGCTACAGAACAAGGAACCTAAAAATGTCGTGTGGATGAGGCTCGTAGAACGGTGCCCACGGGCTGACACAGTAGACCAGGGAAAGCAGGACTTCCGGCTTCCCGGATTATCTTCAAGGCTTGCTTGAATCCTTCACGAGCTGTGGAGAGGTGGTGTGGCCACCAGGGAAATGTTTTCTCTTTCTATCTCAGCACCAGAATTTCACCTGGGACATTTCGGGCCCTCTAGATCTTTCTAAGAGGGCTGATATAAATAACCCCCAGAGGGTGGTAATGATTTGAATATCCAGCTAACAGCATTGGGGTGGGTTTACATGGAGATTAACTGAGTGGAAGCTTCAGGCTGAAGAATGTGAGAAATGGTGAGAATTGGGAAGAGCAAGAGGGCAAGGGCGTAGGTCACAGGGCAACGCCAAACGAAGGACTTGGCTCATAGCGAGTGCTCACGTTAGAAACTCTAATGCCATCCCTAAGTTCAGCATGGCCCAACACAGAAGCAAGGCTTGGCTAAGACTCACTGCACATCCACTCAGCTGTCCTTTGCGATCCTTCTGGGGTCTCCCGGGGCTGGCTTAAGTCCCTGTGACACAGGCCTACCCACCAGGAGAGGGACAATGCTTTTCTCCTCCAGCACCATGGTGCCACCCTGTCACATGTGCTCCCTCTTACATTTGTCACTGCTGCCAGTGGGTAGCAGTGGGTTCACCCCAACCCAGCCCTCTACGGCGGCGTCTCACTGAGGTGAAAACGCTTCCCTTCCCCAAACACGGCCAGCCCTTCCCGCCACAATTCACAGTCTGCAAGGATGCATTGCTCAATTCCCACAGAGATTTTTCTCCTTCCCTAAAGCCCTAAAACAAATCTGGGCAGAATATTTTGAAGGGTGGTCCACAGGACTCTTGGAGCAATATCCCTTAGAGGTCTTGTTTGCAAGGCAGGTTCTGAGGTACACTAAGGTGTCTTAGTTGGATGCCCTCTTGAGTGTGGTGGGACGGAGGGGGGGGGAGTCTGCAGGTTAAACTAACCTCCCTGGAAACCTTTGTCCACTTGAGTTGAAGCCCACTGCTCTGTGTGTGCTAGCCGAGTGAGCTTCCACGTCTCAGACAGGTGTACGTCCTCCCTCTCAATTACCTCCCTTTGTAGCATAACGGCTCTTGCTACAAACCTTTTTTGTGTCTGACCTAAAGAAAAGCAAACATCTAGATTAAGGGGCAGAAGGGAGGGGTGGAAATGGTCTCCAAAGCCGATCAACACCAGACTCTTTAATATGGCGGAAACAAATCATATGTCCTTTAAAAGTCTAAAATTCAAAATTTGAAAGGACCGGAAGGGAGCGCTCCTCCAAACATCGATTACGAGGGGCAACTTGGATCCTAGAGAGTAACATCTTGGCAGGCAGCTCTTCCCATTCTGAAGGGCTGTGTGACATGACACCAGATAGGAAGGCCTTCTTACCTGTGGCTGGGGTTCTCCAGCCAGGACCCCTCCCTGTCTGCTGAGGCTCTGGGGAGAGGGGCATCTAGCAACACCTAGACTTGATCATTAAGAGAAACTTGGTAAAGGAGACAGGTAGAAACTGGTTCTCAACTCAGGGTGCAAAGGAGTTTGTAGAAATGTGATCTTTTGATGCCTCTATCCTTATTTTGGGAGGTACAGGATAAAGTCACCTAAACTGGTCACACCTGAAGGAAAGGGTGAGATCAGCTAGCACGTGGTAGGGATGAGGCTCATTTGTTTCCAAATGGGATCAAGGGCTTCAAATATCTTCACTGATTTCTAACTTTTTTTATCCTGAAGTAGGAAGAATGAAGAAAACCACATAGACACATTGGGTTCCAGGAAACATTGCGAAATGTTTTAGATGTTTCAAAGCTTACCCCACCAAAAGATCTGCTTTTTCAAAAGCCATTTGTAAATCTTGGGCAACGCTGACGTTTGCGTGGTGTGCCTTGATTTTGGGTTCCCTGATCAATTTTTTCTCCTTTTGAGCAGAGAACTTGATGACTTGTACATTAGCAACTAGAAACATATTTAATACATTATTAAACTATGACTCAATACTGGCAATGCCCCCCCCCAAATATTTGTTTCTACTATAGACAGATTTTGCTGGCCAATTCTATAGAATCTTACCTGGTATTATAGTCCATGAAAGTTTTTAGTTTTGGTTTTTTGTGGCATGGTCTCATGTAGTCCAGGCTGGCTTCAAAGTCACTATGTTGCAGAGGATAGCCCTTAACTCCTGATCCTCTTGCTGATAGCCTCTCAAATTCTGGAATTCTAGGTCTATATCTCCATGCCTGGCTTAGCCCAGGAATTTGGATATGCTTCTCGTTAGCAGATATTATCTAGCCTCTTCTAAAGCACAAGGTTCTGTTCATATTATTATTTCCTTTCTTCAATAAGTTTGTTAACTCTTTAGGTTCTGATGCATCCAATACTGTCACAGTAGAAGCTTCAGCTGACTCACCTCACTGGGACATGTCCAGGCTTGACTGTATATGCATGGAAGAAGCCTAGAAACAGCTTTGAAATAAAAGATCCTCACATCATTCTTCTCTTATATATTATTGTATATACTATATATGTATATTATATACAATATAATATTATATATATTTGTCTGGTTATAAGTAGTTGAGTAGCCCAAGGGCTGTAAGTAAATGTAGAAGGTCTTCTGCTTAGCAATGAGAACCAAGCTTGCTTATCAGCAAGGGTAGGTTAGCTAAAGAAGTATAAATTAAGAAAGCAGTGTAAATCTGGGCGGGGCTAGCTGTAACTAGACGTTTCTCTCCTGCCTGCCAGTTCACAAACACTCTGAGGCTTAATATTAATTATAAATATTTGTCCAATGGCTCAGGCTTTTACTAGCTGGCTTTTACAACTTAAATTAACTCATTTCTATTCATCTGTGTATGGACACGAAGCCTGTGGCTCATTACGTCACATCTTGCTTCTGTCATCTCCCTGGCCCTGCCTTCTTTATCCCTGTATCTTCGCTTGGATTTCCCACCTGGCTATATTATATTCTGCCTGGCTATTGGCCAAATCAGCTTCTTTGTTAACCAATGGTAATAAAGCATATTCATGGCCAAAGAGAGACATCCCACATTAGCTAATCTCAGGTCACTAATGTGGCTGGAGAGATGGTTCAGAGATCCAGAGCTCTTTCAGAGGTCCAGAGTTCAATTCCCAGGACCACGTGCTGGCTCACAACCATCTATAATCAGACGCAATGTTCTCTTTTGGCCTGCAGGCAAACATGCAGACAGAATACTGTATACATATTTATAATGCATTTTTTTTTAAAAGATCCACCTGGACATGCCGGTGATAATATCAAGTTTCAGTTGGTACAGTTATGGTGCAGGGAATTCACACAGCCTCCTAAGAAATATGTAGGTGCATAAAACCTTCCACTGTGTATCCCTTGGGGAACGTTAGTTGTGCTTTCACCTTCGAGATTCAGGGTGTCAGCATTAGAAGTGCAGCTCCTGGCAGGGCATGCGGGCTATGAGTCTAAGCACCGGGGTTTCACTGACTCAAGAAAGCAAGATGCTGTCCTTCGGGTTACTAGGAACAGAGCATGAGGTGATAAAGAACCAGGACCTACAGGTTAGACATGGGGAACCGTCTGAGCATGGGCGCGGGACGCAGACATGGTGTAGGAATCCAGCTTTCAGAGGCGGGTGTTGTCATCCAAGTTAGACAGTGTTTGGAGCTAAGCCGCATGCCAGGGCAGGTGGCCACCCCCTGTAACAGGCTACCTTTGTAGCCACTGAATCCCGGTGAGTGGTCCTGGAAAGGGGAGGGGGAGACAAGAGAGCCTCTGCATCAGTCTGATGTGAAAGGCCAACAAGCATACAGAAACCCTGGGGAAGCTCAGGCTCCTCTCTGCTGAGGGCCAGAGTTGAAAATGTGGGCTTTAATGATTTCAGCTTAAACAAGCTCTGAGCCAAACTAAAGATGTGGTCAACACCACACACACACACACACACACACACACCACCACCACCACCACACACACACACATACCACAAACACACACACATACCACCACCACACAAACACAGACACACACACCACACACACACACCACACATACCACCACCACAAACACACAAACATACCACCACCACACAAACACAGACACACACACCACACCACCACAACACAGACACACACATATACACACACACCACACCACACACACACACACACCACACACACCACACACACAAACACACACACACACACATACTACCACCACACAAACACAGACACACACACCACAAACACACACCACACACACACACCACACACACCACAAACACACACACATACCACCACCACAAACACACAAACATACCACCACCACACAAACACAGACACACACACCACACCACCACAACACAGACACACACATATACACACACACCACACCACACACACACACACCACACACACATGCCACCACACACATACACACACACCACACACATGCGCACACACACACACACCACCACCACACAGACAACACACACATACACACACCACACACACCACACACACACACCACACACACACACACACACACAGGTGTGTGCGCTATAGAAAGCTTCTTGACTCCTCATATTATATGAGGCTGTGTTATACAATGATGTTATTGCGCTGCCTTTCAGGGCTGGCTTGAAGGCTGTGTGAGTCTGCTCAGAAACGGGGCCAAGCACAACATCCCAGATAAAAATGGCCGCCTGCCACTGCACGCTGCCACTGCGGAGCCCGATGTGAGGTAAGCAACCCATAATACGCCAGATGGAAAAGACCCAGCTTGCATGAGAACAGCATGGAATCCATCCCTCTGTGGCTGTTAAAAATGAAACTTACCATTTTTGCAGACAGGACCTCAACACAATGTTCTAGAGTAGTCATGAGTTCCAATATCACTCCCTTCTTACTTCAGTGACAGCCTCTCCTCACAGTCTTTTATTTTAGAAGAAAGGCTACCTGTTAACTATTATTGGAACTTCATTATGAAGCAAGCAGAAATTTAGTCCCTAACAATGCCACAGTGAGCAAGGCAGTCTCTGATGTCCCAGAGCAGACACTGTTGTGAAGGAACCGAGTGGCTCACCAGTGAACAAAGGAACAAGATACTTTCCAATAGTGACAAGTGCGTGGCAGACACCCAGACAAGCTAAAGCAGCCATGCCGTGCATGCGTGGCAGAGAGGTGAATGCCCCAATGGAGTGTGCTGCTGGATTTGAAGAGGACCGGAGCCTGAGGCAGAAGTCCGGGGCATGGAAGGAAAACCAGCAAGGTAACACACATGGGCTCGTGTGAAGAGAGCTACCCAAAGGAAGCCAATGATCGAGGAGGCCACCATTTGCTGAGATTGAGAAACCAAGAGGAAAAACTCCCCAGTCCAGTGAGCTCATTCCTCGCTGTCAGATTGGCCGCTGTCTCCATCGTTTTGAAAGCTCCTACAGCAAAGCTGGTGATAATGTTCCCAACCCCAGGCCCTGGCCTGCAGCATGGGGGGGGGTGTGCCTCGCCCTCAGCACCCAGAGCCTGAAGGAAGACCTGACTGATGCTCTGTGGGTCTGAAGACGGGGAAACATCCTCCAGGCAGGAAGATGACAGGATCTCTTCATTCCAGTCACTTTTATAGAAAGTAAAAGGCTTGGAAAATCCCAGGACTATCCCTGAGGCTCGCCACTTAACTACCTTGGACTACGTCCAGAAATAACAGAATTTACCCAAAGCCGGATAAAGCAAGCAAAGTTAGAGATGAAAGTGCCAGCCCAGACCAGCAATTATCAGTAAATACCATAGGTAAGGGTGTGGTCTGTTTTCAGAAGAAACGGGAAGGGGAGGAGGAGGGGAGAGGGGGCAGAGGGGAGGGAGGGCAGCAGAAGACATTTGTTTTTAGACAACTCCCGCAAATATTTAGCCACAAAAGTAAACTGTTTCTGCAAGAGTGACCTTGAGAAAATAAGTTTTGAAAACATACCTTCTAAGAATTATTCTGCCTTGATTACTGAACAGTAACTGACTTTATCTGTTCCTCCTGAGTAATTTTAAAAGCTACTTATTCTGAAAGATAAATGCCTGCTTAAGTGGTGGTAATTATAGGTGTTGTAGCCAGTAAAACCCAAAGCTAGAATGTTTCACATCCAAGTTTTGGTTCTCAGACCTATCAGTCCCAATGTGGGGGTTACTAAGTGATGGCTGTCTCCCCTCCACATGGTGATTCAGGGACCCGAGCATCTCCCATCTCGTAACTCCCATCCTGAATGACCACAGAATGTCCCTCACTTGGCCTGGTAATGGGCAAAGAGGAGCAAAGCGAGCCTTGTCCATTCATACAGAACCTCAGGCAAGCATCACTGTTCACCTTTGTCCTCTTCCCATTAACAAGAAGTAGTCATTTGTGCAGGCTTGAACAGCACGAACTGCAGGAAACACTGTCCCCGACAGACTCCGTCCACCATTGGTGATTCCAATCCATGAACTGGGAACTCAGATTTGGATGAGAAGTTCTCTCTGCCATCGCCCTCTACACCTGAGGTGTGAATTAAGTCTTTTCAATCAAAATTACATGGATTAGTTAGGTTCAACCTCTGAAATGATTAGTAGAAAAACCAAAACAAATTTATGCCCTCTTCCATGGACTTTTTCTTTTCCTTTCTTCTTTCCCTTTCTTCCTTCCTTCCTTTCTGCATCCCTCTCTCCCCCCCTTCTCTCCCTTCCTTCCTTTCTTTCTTTCTTTCTTGTTTGGTTGGTTTTTGGTTTTTTTTTCAAGACATGGTTTCTCTGTGTAGCTGTGACTGTCCTGGAAATCATTTTATAGACCAGGCTGCTCTTGAACTCAGAGATTCGCCAGCCTCTACCATACCAGCAGGCCCAAGTGCTGGGATGAAAGGTGTGAGCCACCACGGCCCACTCTGTGGACTTATACTATATATAGCCATGTCTCTGGACACTCTCGGATCTATCCCACGTAGATGGAACTTTGAAAGCAAAGAGTTGAGGCTTCCTCGTCTCTGGATATTATACCTAATGACCTAGCCAACATCCGCCAGTGAGCTGAATCCAGAAAAGTTAACAACCTTCTGTGTGTCAAATGTAACAGCTTTCTTCTTGGAAATGGATAGATGATAGGGAATGGTAAAGCCCTGCTTTAGTTAAATGCTACTCAACTAATGAAAGCTGAAGCTGTGACAAACTATTTTGAAAGCAATATTTTGTTAGTGAATCTTCTTCAAAATGGATTAGGTCAAATGCCTTGCAACCCATAGACAATAAAGAAGTTAGTGGAATTACCTGCAGACTCTCTGGGAAGCAGCTCGTCCTAAAGGCTTCCTCCTGGGAATGAACTGATAAATAATAATGATGATAATGTATTTTACAGTTGTCTTATGAGAATTCATGGCACAGTTTCATCTGCATTAGCAGATGGTTAGCATTTGAAGAAGCTAACCAAGTCATGTTTTGTAACAGCATTAGGCCAAACCTGGTTTGAGCATCAGCATACTCTTGCTTTCTGAAGAAGGCAGACTGTCTTAGTTAGGGTTTCTGTTGCTGTGAAGAGACACCGGGCCACAGCAACCCTTATAAAGGAAACATTTAATCGGGTTGCTAGCTTAGGTGTTCTGCGTTCAGCCCATTATCCTCATGACAGTGTGCAGGCAGACATGGTGCTGGCTACATCTTGACGTAACCTGAGCAAAGCTTAAGTAAAAGAGACCTCAAAGCCTGCACACAGTGACACTCTTCCTTCAACAAGGCCACACCTCCCAGTAACGTCACTCTCTGTGAGCTGATGGGGACTAGGACTAATTAGCCTACCATACAGACTTCGTCTGGCTTTATAGGCAACCACACTGAGAACAGAGAGTCTCTCCCATTCGGCACATGAGCCTAGTTTCTTAAATGAACACAACCTTTAAAAAAACGTATTTATTTACTTTGTGTGTGCACGCATGTATGGGTGCACAGCATGGCATACACGTGAAGTCAGAGGGTAACGTACAGAAGTTAGTTCTCCCCTTCACCCACATGAGTTCAAACTTAGGATCAAACTTAGGTCCTCGGACGTGCAGGAAAGCGTGTGTACCCACTGAGTGAGCATCTCACCAGGCCATCCATGGGTATAACCTTAGACCGGTTAAGCAAACATTTAGGTCTGAATTAAACCAATAGCAAATAATGACAATGATGAGGAGGAGGCAGGTAATGTTCATTGACGAGGAGGAGGATGGTATTGCCTTTTGTTTTTCGAGACAGCATTTCTCTGTGTAGCTCTGTCCTGGAACTGGCTCTGTAGGTCAGGCTGGCCTTGAACTTAGAGATCCCCTGCCTCTGCCTCCAGAGTGCCGGGACTAAAGGTGTGCACCACCACCCAGTGGATATTAGTTATTATCAGTAATGCTCTGAACAAGATTCTTGGTGTTTTCTAGGTCTTGAACCATCTAACACACCACTTTTCTAGACAATGTGTAAAACTTTTACCCCCACTTCACAGAAGAGAAACTGAGGCAAATGGAAGCTGACTAACTAACGCACACATGAAGGAAACCTGCCTGATGGGTCTGCTGTCTTCCCCAGAGCCACTGTTGCGGGCCTTGCAGAGTTTATTGCAATGGTCACGTTTTTATCAATAAGCCCTTGGCCTGTGCTGCCAGGCCTTATGAGAAACAGCCTTTCAAAACTCACTGGCTCATGATCAGGTCATATTTTATTCATTACAACATCTTTTAAAATCCTATATACGAAACCACGGGGGGGGGGGGAGGGGGAACTTTCACTAAAGGGAGGGATTACTCTGCTTCTCCAGAGAAAATAGTGGAATTCAAATTATAGGAACACCATGGTTTATGAACCTGGGCTTCACTCTCCGTGCTTAGAAAATTCAAAACTCAGTTTGGAACCCAGACATACACACAGGACTGTACATATGTCTTCCATCTTCTGCCCTGTTTTCTCTAGCTAATTTTTTCACTCACCTTGTTTTTATTTGTGAACCAAAACTCACTCACAATCCTCGTTGGGTTGAATGAGGTCGAGCGTGGCTGGGCGTTGAACCAAACTTGAATCCGGCCTTATCTGACCAGCCACTTCGTCTTGAATAAGTTACTATGTGAAGGCCCAATGTGGCTCTTTTCTAGAAAGTAAATGGAATCCAATCCTTCCCTTATTAAGAAGGTCGGCAGAAATAGAGGAAAACACATTGAAGCCACTGAGTGCAGTACCTAATGCGCTCTGCTCTGAAAGCGCGGATGCTGAGTGGGATATTAATGGCGATAGGAGGAAGTAGATGAACATGAATACAACGTGCTGGCATTAAAGAGTAGGCCCCACCTTCTGCCACCCGCCGGCTCCCACCGTGGCGCACACGGCTATTTGTGCACACAGCCCTGTGGCAGCATACAATACCCATTTGTTGCAAAGGATGCTGGGCTAGGAACACTCATTCCCCTTTGTGTAGACGCTGTTGGGCTTCAGAATCTCAAGCCATTCAGTTCCCCCAGAAGCTCCCTGTGCAGCCTTCGTGAGCACAGGGCCATCTGTATTTTCTCCATATTAGTCAGCAGAACAAACAGCCACCTGGGGACCTTGTGAAAATATGTTTACACTGGCTTAAAAATCTGCTGACGCTCAGGTTTCCAAACATCGAGTCCCTCCCATGTGACACTCACTGGAGGCTATTGAGAGGGAAGCTTCAGACTGAAGTTGGCTTCAAACAGTCCAGAGGGATGCTCACTCCGCCCTCAGCTAAGGCCCAGGGAAGAGGGGGCTGGAGCAGACACTGGATAATTGATTTGCACATTAGAACACAAAAGAGCCCAGGCTTCATCCCTCAAGCCCTGTGCCTGCTCCGAGCTCTCTGCCTCTCAGGAGGTCCAGGTTTTCTCCATTTCAGTGCCCCCAGCCTTTGGCCGGGACATGCCGAGGGTGCCAGAGTGAGAAGGGGGACAGGATCATTAGGACAAAGTCGCAAAGACACGGAGTTGTGTGGGTAGAGCCCTGTACAGTCCTGAAAGGCAATTGGCAATTTCCTCTGAAAGCAGCCACTGGGCTCTCTAAAGGGCTTCATGGTCTCCGTGGTAACAGAAAGATTTCCCCCTTTTTTCTGTGGTTTCCCTTGCCAAGGCTCCAGCAGTTCCACACCCTTTCATTGCCCTTGACTTCAGCCAGAGGGTTTCCTGGCTCTGAGTTACTAACGCTCTGACCTGGGTGCATATGTCATTATACCAGAGTCTTGCATCCAGATATCATTAGGGCACGAAGGGGAGATGGCTGGCTTGGGCTGGGAGCCTGTGGGGTCAGCAAAGGAGAAGAGATTACAGAAGCAAGCCATCCTGTGTTGTCTCTTGCTGATCCCTGCTGCCACCAGAATTACCAGAAGGTGATCAGGAAAGACCCAGAAAAGGCAAGACCCAGCAAGGTTTTTAAAAATGAACCATTACAGAGGAGTTGGGAATAGGGACATGAAAGCTATCCTACCTGCTTCGTAAGCATTGCCTCCACTAAAAATTATAGCAAGTCTTTAGGAATAAGAAGGTACCCATTTCACAGACAAGAAAATGAGCTCCTTAGAGTGTTGTAACCCTGTCAAGGCCCCTGGCTAGTTGGTGAGAAGGGGGGATTGTAACAGCATGTGTGTTCTCATTACTCAATCGTGGCCCTGGGTGAGGGAAGGCACCTCCTGGGGATCCCTGTTTGCTGGAACCTGGTGTGTAGAGATCTGGAGCTGTTGCTCTGAGATCTGGGGGCAGTTTGAGCAGGTTCCCGGGGGATGGCTGATGGGATGTTTCTGGCCATAGCATCACACTGGAGAGGCTCTAGGAGAATAAAACTGGGGCCAGCAAGAGATCCAGAGCCGAGATAGATGGGGACTGAGCCACAGTCCATCCACACCACGGAACAGCAGGGTCACTGTTAGTGTTCAGGCATCTGTGCTGACCTGTCCTTGGGGTTCCGACAGGATACGTCCTCAGCTGCAGCCACTAAGAGCACCCCCTGTGCACATTTGCTACACTCCCTTTTAAAAAGGCCCCTCCCACCTCCCATCCCTCTCTCCCTCTCTCCCTCTCTCTCTCCCTCTCCCTCTCTCTCTCTCTCTCTCTCTTTCCTCACCCTTGTCCCCAGAAACTACATAGTGACCATCTAGTCTCCAGTTCAGGCTGAACCTCAGAAACACTGGCAGGGGTTGGGGGTGGGGTGGGGGACGACACACAGGACTCTCCGTTTGAATATCTGTGTCCAGTAATGAAAACCCCTGAATCTTGAAGGCTTCAAATTCAAAAAGTTAGATAGCACAGATTGATCCATTAGACAGAGAAAACAGGAGATTACAAAAGGTAGCAACTGAGGAAAATCCAGTGAGAGCAAGAGACAGAGGTCTCTGTTCACCTAGCACAATGGCACATGCCTGTTACCCCAAGCTGAGGGAGGACGCAGAATCACAGGTTTGATGTCAGCCAACATAACCTAGGAGCTCAAAACCAGCCTGGGGGACACATGAAGACACAAAAACAAAATCAGACTCAGAAGGTCACTTGGCAGTGGGGCAAGAATTGAGCCCCGGCAGCAGCTTTTAGCTCCCCCAGAAGAAGGTGGAAAACTAGATTCAAACCCAGCCATGTCCTGTCCACAGCAAATAAGGGTTATCACATCCCCGTCCAAGCTTGCCTTGCTCCGCGTCTGTTACAGAAGCCATAGGATTGTTCTTTCTTGTTGGCAGTAATTTAATTCACAGGATTGGGAATGTCATCTAAGCCTAGGCACAATGACATCTGGATGCAGAGACTGGGAAGATGGGCTCCACCACTAAAAGGGCTTTCCACTGAGTGTGGATCCCCAGCACCAAGTAAAATCATGGCACCCCAAATCTGTACCTCAGAGACAAGACAATCGCTCACAGGCCAGCCTGGACATCAGTAAGTCCCAAGCTCAGAGAGAGACCCTGTTTCCAAAAAAGATGGAGAGCAACTCAGGGCGACACCTGGTGTCTGCCCTGTCCTACACACACACACACACACCCACCCACCCACACACACACACACACACACACACACACACACACACGAACGCACGCACGCACGCACGCATACATAAGAACACATGAACACATAGGACACACATGAACATATAGAACATGCACAGAGAAATAGGAAAACTGGATTGGGAAACAGAAATAACCAATTTCATTTTGCAAATGATTTTTACAGAAAAAAAAAAATCACTTGAAGCTCTTTGCCTGCACCGTTCTCAGCCGGCATGGTGGGAATTCATTAACCAGCACTTTCTCGAAGGTCTCCAAACATGGCTGTTTACCAGACTGGCCTGCAAAGGTGCTTTTCAGCTCTAACGACTAGGCTCCTCCAAGACCCACGGAGTACAAACCAGTTGTTTGCGGTTTAAAAACAAAAATTCCCCCTGGTGGTTCAGAGCTGGTGCCAAGGCTCAGCAATCTAGGACTAAGGATTCTAGAAATAACACTTTGTGTCTCAGCCATAGTCTACATGCTCTGTGCATGTCACCTCACTCAATGCTCACAATGAGCTGTGAGACCAGGGCTTATTACCCCAACACAGGATGCTTGGGCAGAGGTCACCTGCCTCAGAGTACAGTTCGCAGGTCTGCCATGAGAGCCCAGACAGTCTGGCTCCAGAGCTGGCCCTAGGACCAGGGCAACCACCCGCCTCTCCCTCACAGAGGGAGGTGACTTCAGCCAACCAAGCACAAGCCAGTGAAGCTGGACTTGAGTGAGAATCACTGGCCTGCCTCTCACTGAATCCTGTCATCCCTGCTCAGGTGTCCCTGTCTGTGTCACCAGTGAGCAAAGGTGTAAAACAGCAGCACCGTGCATTCAAAGTGACTGAGCTCTCCACACAGCTCTCAGGAACAGCTTTGGCTTTGGGCTACCAGCTCACAAAAAAATGACATGGAGGCTTAGTATTAATTATGAAAGATCAGACTATAGCTTAGGCTTGTTTCTAACTACCTCTTATAACTTAAATTAACCCATTTCTATTGTCTATGATGGGGGAAGTCCTTCTGTATATACGTTTCTCTTATTGGTTGATGAATAAAACACTGATTGTCCAGTAGCCAGGCAGGAAGGATAGGCAGGGCTACCATAGGAGAAGAATTGTCGGGAGAGGAAGGCAGTGAGGAGCAGCCAGAAGGTAGGATGCCTGGGCATTGTCTGGTAAGTGAAGACCACATGGAAACACTTAGATTAATAGAAATGGGTTGGTAGTTAAGAGAGAGATAGCCGACAAGAAGCCTGAGCCATTGGTCAGACAGTTTATAATTAATATAAGCCCCTGTGTGTTTACTCGGGACTAAACGACTACAGGACCAGGCGGAAAAGAAACTTGCGTTACACATTTACATGCTGTCACCTGGCTGGCGCTTTTACCTCTCCATCCAGCTAGTGATTCCCCCTTTCTTCTTCCCGGAGATCTTCCTATTTGGAAGTCCCAACCACACCTCCTGCTGCCTAGCTACTGGTCATTCAGCTCATCATTAAACCAATCACAGTGACACATCTTCACACAGCGCAAAGGAACATTCCACAACAGTGCTTGAGTTTGGCTACTGAGGTTCTACCTAGGTGACCGAAGGGGAGGCTAAAGGCTCACTGTCCTGCCTCCCCTCCGTCCCCAGCAGCACCAAGATGCCAAGAAGCTGGAGAAGACAGCGGTGTTTCTCTGTTTCCCTGCTCACGTCTTCCCGTAGCTCTTTCTCTTGGGTCAGCGGGGAGAGCCTCGTTTTATCTGGAGGCCTCCAACTGTATCTGTGCTCCGATGTCCATTCTAAGCGCCCACGACTGTCAGTGCTGTTGAGCCTCTCTTGTTCTTCCCAACAGGGTCCTCATAGCCCTGCTGCAGCAGTCCAGCCTCTGTGAAATCAACCACCAGGACACAGAGGTGAGTCGCTGTCCTCGGCCACGGGGAGGGCAGAAGGCACCCTTTGCCTACAAGCAAGCTTCTCTGCTCCTACCTTCAGGCTGAACTCTATCATCTTGGGTGTGGGCAGCTTCTACCAGGGAGAGGCTTTCTTGCATTAAGTACTTAGGCGTCAATCATGTGACTGAAATTTCCTAATTTCTCTCTGGGCATTCCCTCTCCTGTCCTCTTGAGTCCCCCAGACATAAACAGCAAGCCGTGACTCCAGATGTGTTCTTTCCATGTTCAGAGGACATGCAGACTAGTCCCAGGCCAGCATCACTAGTTAATCATAATTGCTATTTCCTTCACATTGCTAAATGTCAGCCTGGCAGACAGAAGCTTCCAAACCATCAGTCCCCACCCCTGAGCAGAGTTCTCGGTTAGACCCTGTAGTGCTGTTCCAGACCAGCTAAGGGCTTTGTTATAGCTATGTCCAGTTGTTCAAAAATGAGTACTGATTTTCATCAGTCAGTGGATTTTTATTACAATTGTCCTGAATCCAATTGAAGTGCCTGGGCTCTTAGTGGGCTCTCTGTATAAACATGTGTTCGGTTAGGTTGTGTAAGCAGTACGGTTTTTCCTCCTGCTGCCTAGTCTTGTCCCACCGTCGCGCCAGCCCCAAATAACACACAGAGACTCTATTTGATACAATGCTGTTGGCCTGCTTACTTGTTTCTTATCCGCTAGCTCTGTCTTAATTATTAACCCATTTCTATGTATTTCCACATGGTTTCCTTACCAGCGAGAGATGGCTGGCTGTTATGCTTTCTCCTGATTCTCCATCTTGACTCCTCCTTACTACTTCCTCTTTCCTCCTTGTCTCCTAGTCCCTCCTACCTTGCTTTCCTATTGGCCAACAGTGCTTTATTCATTAACCAGTATGAGAAACATATATACAGAATGACATCTCCCATCAAGGTTGCTCTTCAGTTAAGAAGGGCCGGTAACAGTGAGAAAGGCTATTCACACTAAAAACACACGCACACGAGATGCCACGCTACACTGGTTTTGATAAATCCAGGCAGTCCCAGACACTGAGGAGGCAGTCAGCCCCTCTTAGCTTCCTCCTGGCCTGCCCCCATCTGTCTTGAGTCTTTCATCAAAGGCTTCCTCCTGACCATCATGATTACCACACCAAAAAGCCCCTGTTTGCAGCTTGGGTTTGAGATTGGACGTCTCTCTGATTTGTGGTCACATCCTGTGTTCGTCCCACACATCTCCAGTGAACCAAAGCCAAACCTCAGAGGACAGAGCAGTACACCTTCTTAGACTTCTGCTTTACAAAGGAGAACCAGGGCCAGCTGGGAGATGTGTGCGCTTATCACTCTGGACCCACATGGGAAGCAAGTGCTTGGAAGATTGCGCTTGTCAGCACAAGGGGATGTCTAGACCCTAAGCTACCAACTACTTCCTCTACCTCAGCCTCACCGCAAAGTGGGTCTGACTTAGGTAACTGGCGATTGAGTCATCCACACCCTAACGCCACTTGCAGACTGCAACCCTGGCTACTCTGAAGCTGAACTAGCTTCCCCCAGCAAAGCCATAGTTACCACCCTACTCCCATGGATGCAGAGGCAAACTCTTTCAAATGGTTCTTCCTCTGTATAAAAAAAATAAATCTGAGGGACATCGTGTTCATGTCTTTAATCCCAGAACAACTCGGGAGTCAGAGGAAGGAGGATCTCTGTGAGTTTGAGACCAGACTCCAGCAGAAATACGTAGAGATACCCTGTCTCAAAATGACGAGTTTTCTTGTTATCACATCACCATTTAGACCCACTGAATGCTAAGCTCAGAGAATGGCGGCCTTGACGATGATGATTGATGCTGATTCCTACCCGAGGCCACACTTCCCTCTTTAGCCTGTGTCTCATCAGGACCACATTTGAAACTATCCTCTAAGCAGCTTCCTGCTGCAGAGCGCATGGCCTGCGGGCTCTGAGGTGTTCGGCAATTAGGATGTCCGCGCAAAATTTGTCTTTCAAATATGCTTGGTTTAGTCACACAAATATCCCTTATAGGACCATGCCAACAGATGTGTCAGCAAGCGGGGAACAGCTAGTGAGCAGGATTCAGCTGGAGATGCTTCTATGGTCAGGATGCCTCAGGAGCTTCGTGGGCTCCTCCACAGTTCGGTTGTGTCAGGCCAGGACTACGGCACTGGTGGAATTCACAAGGTTCTGGCCACAGGCTAGTGCTAGCAGGTGGGCAGTCATGTGTGAGCCCAGCAACTGTGCCAAAAGTTCAAAGGTCACTGAAGCCAGGGCCACACACAGGCCTCTCGGGTCCTCTAGTAATGAGTGTCAACACAAGAGGCCAGAGAAGCCGAGTCTTGGGGACATGGCAGCAAGGTCCTAGAGCCCATTACCAAAGTTCCAGCCTTGTGTGTCATTTCACTGGGCGGTGGGTTTGGGCTGTGCCGGCTCAACACGGAGGGACTAGTTCTCTAACATAACAATGCCATCTTGCAGGTTGCAGGAGCCTGGCTGGTGCATTAACTTCATCAGACCCTCTTACCAGAGCTGCCTGGTGTCAAGCTTACAGGCCTATTCTAAGTCACACAAAATGGTTGTGAAGTTACACAAAATGGTCACTTCTGTTCCTAACACCCGTTTTTCATACTGTGCGGACCTATATTAAAACATGTAGGTTTAATATAGAGTCAGTCCTCTGTATTTATGGGGAACTAGTCCTGAGTTGTCTCTGGGATCCCAAAAATCTTAAGTTCGAGTGCCTTCTACGACACGGTGTAGTTTTTGCCAGTAACCTATGCACATCTTCTCTCGGACCTCAACTCTTCCCTAGATCACGTACAGTACCTAATGCCATGTAAGCAATGTGTTAATGGTTATTATACTGCATTGTTAATGACAAGGAACACTATGCATGATTAACACAGGTATGATTTCCACAATTCCTTTAATCCTCATTTGGTTGAAATGAGGCTTAACATGAATGTGAAGCCCACAGGTGTGAAGACTTATGAAAAGAAGAAAGGAAAAAAAAAATCAACTTCTGAAATCATTCTAAAACTAGAATGTGATGCCCTTAATGTGGCAGAAATGGGTATCGTCTCCAAGAATGTCCTACGTGAGTTCAGAGACGTGAAACGACTCTGCTGTGGTCCAGTTTTTGTATAATCACATTTTCTTGCTGCTCAGTAACATCAGTGCTACAGGTAACACTGGAAAGACCCTCACCAACTCCGCCCCAAACGCCTTTGCCTCCAGGGAAACAACTCACTTCCCAGTCTTCCCAGGCATTCGTAGGAGGCACGGAACATCGCGTAGGAAGTGTCACACGGGTTTCCTTTTTCAATTCTCCATGTTTATAAGCGGAAATCTGGTCCATTCCTTTTAAGGGCTCTGTAGTGTTCCATACTATGAAAACACTTTGGTCCATTTTGCTACTCCCCTGTGGATTCAGGCTGCCCTCCAGTTGTCCCACGGTCATTACACTAATCTAAAGCAGTCTTACACAAGTCTCCTTGAGTCTCTTAGGGAAGACCTCTAGAGAAACAGCTTCTATGTTGGATTTTAGTTTGATACAGTCTGCCTACTTGTTCCCGGAAACAGCCATTTACAGCGCCACCAGTAGGCTAAGTAACCTCCTCTCTGATGCTCTTTCTGTATCTACTTTCACGATTTCCATTAATTAATTAATTAATCTACAGGGGTGCCTGTCACTTTCTTGTTCCACATATTCTGAAGGCTAGTCCTTTGTCCCTGCTGGGTTTAAAATATATTTCCACAGTCTGTTGGACTGTTTACAGTTCCATATTCTGAAACTTGTGATTGTTCTTGCCTGTTAACTGATTTTGCTTTGGTACACCGCCCCGCCCCCCACTTTTTTTTAAAGAATGCCTAGTTTCCCTCAGAAACTTGATCACAGTGTGCTAGGTTTTCTCTTAGTTTATGGGTACTTTCATCTCTGAACTCTTTGTTCTACTCCAGGGACTGACTTGCTTTTCCTGTTTCGTTCACACTGTGCTGTGTGATTGTGCGGTGACTTCTGTAGAAGCCATCCACACAGAAGGGTTTCACACGGTGGGAAAAGCATGATGGATTCCAGGCGTCCTTTGCATAGTTAGTCTAAAAGGTGCTCAGAGAAATAGATGGTTTAGAGAGAGGTTTGTCATTTTCAGAGAGAGGGAACTATGGAGTTGGCGAACATCTGGAATCTAGCCTCTCCTGCTCCCTCTGAGCTTTCGCAGGGAAGGCTGTGCACTGTCGGCGTCTGGGTTAGTAGTCTCGGCATGCACTCAGAGAAGCACCTTCCTTTAGCATGGTATTTAGGATGTAGTGTTGCTCTTATGCACAATTTTATTGCAGTAGAGTTTTAGGAGCAGCTTCATAATCCAAATACCAGTTATAACAGTACTCCAAGAAAACAAATTCAACTTGCAAAACCAGATGTGAAGTTTTGGACATAATTCACAGCTCTGGCTCCATTCTGCAATTCCTAATGTGTAACCCTAGCCAGTGTGCACTCAAAAGCAAAATCAGCAGACACAGTCCCAGACTTCACACATCTCACTTGAAGTTAACTGAAGGCAAAATGTTACAGCACCTCCAAATACCCCAAAACTGTGCATTTCAAAGTGGAGTAAGGTCATTATTACTCAACAGCCCTCAACCCCTCTATCCCTGACCCTAGAAGTCCGTAAGTTTCTGAGGACATTGTCTCTTCCTTCTTTGTATCCTTGACTCCATCTCAGTAATTTACACAGAATGAATATCAAGAAGTACGTGTGTGAGCCGGGTGTTGGTGGCACACGCCTTGAATCCCAGCACTTGGGAGGCAGAGGCAGGTGGACCTCGGCCTGGTCTACAGAGCAAGTTCCAGGACAGGCTCCAAAGCAATACAGAGAAACCTGTCTCGAAACCTCCCCCACCAAAAACAAAACAAAACAAAACAAAAACCAGTGTGTGTGTGTGTGTGTGTGTGTGTGTGTGTGTGTGTTTTACTGGAGAGAGGGC